GCGCCTTGGTTGGTGTACGAAGGCCGCCTCATCTTTCAGGCAGTGAGCTATCCACAGAGGAAGAGTATCAGCCAAAGGAAGATCCTCCGGGATGCCCTGCAGCCTGCTGGCAAACCCTACCGAGACTGCAGCTACGACCGAGCACCGGCAGTATGGGGGCACGAAGAAGGCGGAAACCTACGATGAGGCACCGCGTGTGCTTGGGCAGCGAAGGTGTGCACCAAGCAAAGCACTGACCGTGGCAAAGAGATTCTCACAATGAGCAGTTCTGTGAGCCTTGCCACACAACTTGCTTGCCTTGTGGAGGCCTCTGCGGTCACCTGCACACATGGCAACCCTAATTTCCTCCCCTTTTCTCCTTTCAATCAGTGGCACTTTGGCTCTTGAGCTGGAGGGACTTGCAATGTAGTGGACAATCAATTAATTGCTAAAATCAGCAGATACAAGCTATGTACAAATAAACACGTCACAGAAATTTCAAACATATTTGGCAGCTTTCTTACTTACATCACCCTATCTCCCTTCAAGTGTCACCAACAAGGACACGCATTCAAAAAGACTCTGTTGACACCTGTGTCGATGCACTTGGCTTTATCTGACTGGTAACAGCAGTATTACTTTTGGGCTCAAATTAAGATATCTTAAAACATGGAACCTAATAACTTCCTCCCTAGGATGATCACAAAGATCATATTCTGCCAGTATTTGTTTATGTGAATCCACTAATTCCTGTACACTGCAAAATACCATAACAGCATAAAGAATCCATGTCAGATATCTCACTGTTGCTGTATATCGCATGGTGACACTGACACTGGTGTTTTATTGGAATTTTCCATCTAAAATGCATGTTTTACACTACTCTAGTGTGAAAATTTGATGAACTGGGAACACGCCCTTTCCTGCTGAATTCTGGAATTCTTACAGGAATCTTTTTGGTCATAAATACGGCTATTTTTTCTACAGTCTCTAAAGTGAGAAATTTAAAATTTTCTAAATTTGTAGACATTTCTTTTATTAATTCAGTTAACCTGAATCACATGGCTTTATGTTTTGTTTTGTTTTCACAAATGTTTTCTTTATTTCCAGTCAATCTAATGTTTGATAATCATGACTTTCAGTCATTTTTCATTGCTGAGATCATACGAGTTTTCTTTGGAGTGTTAATTTGTGTGACTGTATTAATAGTTTAGTGCCCTCACCAGCCATTCTGGGGAAGTGCTCAATCACATGTATAAGGCAGCAGGTGGGATCCATGCAGTCCTATCTAGACCTCTGTCATGTAGAAGTCTACATCTAATATAGACTCCCTCCATACACGAGGAAGAATTAAGCATCTTTAACACATGAGTCATGTCATCCTAAAGTAGATGCCTAGAATAGGTCAGATGATTTGTGCCCTAAAATTGCTCCTATTTCTCTGTGTTAAAGAACAAGTCATTTATATCTTGATGTTTCAATTCTGGCAGCCTCAAGTGAGATGAGATTAATTAATAGTCTTATAGCCAGGCTTATGTCATGCTTTGAAATACCCAAAAAGTTCTGATTTGTCAAAAAAGCTGGAAATAGCATTACTTCTTATATTATTCTCCATTTACTAAAAAAAAAAAAGAAAGCTTTTAAAAGTTTTCTGCCTCAAGTCATTTTAGTAAAACTGGCAAATGCCATGTGTTTCATGGGAAAGTCATAACACCTATCTTTTTAATAACTAAGTCTTTCAGTTCTCTGTCTGCAAGGTTGGGAAATAAATGAGTTATATACATTAATGGTCCAGAATAAGAACCTGCTCTTGGTGAAATATGGGGGGAATTAAAAAACAAAACAAACCAAAAAACCAAGAAAAAACTGTTTGGGCAGGCTGAATTGTTTTTTAAATGACACTCAAAAATGATATGTGAAAAGATCTTTTAAAACTAAACTAATTGGCAGAGAACAGGTGAAACAATTTTCTTTTAAAAGTGTCATAATAGCTAAAACCTAGCAGAGGTGTAACATTAGTGTGGTACATGTGAGGAGAATGTGTGCCAGAAACTCTTCAAGAAATGCAGGATCCTTCTGACCAGTTCTGCTCTCAGGAGTTAAAATCCTGCATAAAGCTGATGAGTAAGCTCTTGATGACTCACTGTGGCAGATGCAGTCTTTAATTCCAGGAGGGTATAAGGGAAGTGGGTGTGAATCTCGAGTAGAGGGGAGCTAGGGATGTTCCTGCCTCAGTGTCTTGGGGATAAAAGTGTAGGTTTTTAATACAGCCCCAGCTATCAGCAATGCCAAACTTCTGTAAGGGGTAAGTTTGACATTACACATCACACATAGATTTTATGTGAAGCAAGGTTGGAACACCACCTACTCACAGATGGGTATAATTTTGGGGATGTCCTGCATAATTCATGTGTGGCTTTGATACTTATGAGTAATTCAGACATCAAAGCCTCAACTTAGATAACACTTTTATAACACTAAACTTCCTATAGCAAATAACCTGTGGGCTTTCATTTAAGTCCCTTAAAAAAAAAGGCAACTATACCAATACTTTCTTCTTTACCTTCAGATATTTTTCATAAGGTAAGCTGGTGTGAAGTACAAGATAGAAAATACTGAAGCCTGAAGTAAAGAAAAAAAAATCCATATAATACTCTTCACTGGGACTAGAAGTGTAAATTTACAGCACTAGAAAAGGAGCGGCAACCTCTTTCCTGAGAGTGCACCAGATACCAGGCCCTTATGGTCACTCAGCAATATTCCCCTCTGCTTTGCCGGTGGCACAAGCCTTCACTTTTCCACAGTCCAATTTTTTAACAAGCAATTTTATGTTCTCTTCCAACTTAGCCATTATGCATGGAAAAATCTCCCCATTAATAACCGTAAAGCTCCTTTATTGTTCTCCTTCAAATCTCCTTAAAACTTCCTTCTGACACCAAACACTTGTCACTGGCTGGGCCTGTTGCTTTTTATTCTCAAGGCTGTTTTTCCCTTATCCTTCCCCCATGGGTTTGTACTATACACCTGTTGTCTTTCATCATGGGTTAAGATCATAAGCTCTTTGGGCATAGACCATCTCTCTTATTACATGTGTCTACAGTATCCGACACAATGGAACTGTGAGCCCTGAATGGGGCCTCTGGGTACTGCCATGATCCACTTGATAAAGAATGATGATTTTTGACATGGTGAGTTCTGCAGTTTTTCCCAAGTCATTCTGCAGTTGTTCACGCTGATATAACCGGCGTGTGAGAGCAGTGTCCTTAAATCCTAAAAAAAAGGGTAAATGCTTTGGAACTATTTGCTGGAGAGCAAGGAATTTACTACTTTGGAGTTGTTGGGTTTTTTTTTCTGTTCCTGCATATTGAAATGCATGGGCTGACATGCAGCAACTGTTTCTTTTTGTGGGCTTGTACAGGACTAGAGTGATGTGACCCTGCTCTGAAGCTTTTGCATCCTGTCCTTCAAATTGCAATAAAGACTATTGGAGTCAAATAAAAGAGGGGTGGCTCATGCGCTGCTGGCGTGAGTCAGTTCCCTAAAGGTCCTTGTGGATTCAGGACACAGCTTTTCCCTGCTGCAGTTTCCCTGCTAGACATGGAAACTAGTTTCTCTCCCTCCTCTCCTGTTTAGTCACATTGGCAAGCGAGGGGATGCAGGAAAGCTGCACCAGTCAGAGCTGGACTGCTGGCTTTTGTAGTGGGGAAGGCAAGGAGAGCCACCCCCTCCACCACATACCCATTGAGCAGGAAGACAAGCAGAGTCGATTATTTTTAATTAACCCCTTGCAAAATTCTCCTTCTCTAGAGTTCTCTTTCCAGGCTCCACCGATGACCTTCCCGGACCCTGCTACCTCAGCGGTGCACATCATCATTCACACCATGCAATCTCTTCCCCCAGCCCCCAAGATATTATGTTTCTCCTCCTTTTCTTCCTGTCTCTCTCTCCCCCCCGCCACCATTCCCAAAAAAACCTGTCTTTAGGTTTTGTGCTCAACTGAGGAGCTGCCGGAGTGTCGTCTCCCTCGTGCAAGGCTCCGCATCGCGCCCAGTCCTTGAGCTCTGCTCAAGAACACTTTTGGAAATGCAGAAGACCCTCTGTCCCCTTGCTGATTCACACAGCTCTTTTCGAAGGGCAAAACGACAATAACACCAATTCTGGGCATCATAAGAAGAAACAGAAATCCTCTCTCCGCTCGCCGAGTCTATCCCGGCAGTTTTAAATAACTTCATTTTGGGGAGCGCGGGGGAGGGGCTGGGGGCAAAAGGAGCACGTACTTTGCCCCGCACCCCTCTCCCCCCATATCACCTCCTGCTCGCTTCTTCCTTCCCTCCACCGCTTTCCTACAAGCTGGGGCTGAGCGAGGAGCCGCGGTTGGCCCGCGGGGCGTCCCGGGCGGCGGCAGGGCCCCGGCGCTACCGCACCGGCAGCGGCATCCCCGGAGCTGCCCCCGGCAGCGCAGGGGCAGAGCGGGAGGGCTGCGGGCTGCCGGGGAAGGGGGCCAGAGTGGAGAAGGCAAAAACTGCGGCGTGGGCAATAACGACCCCCACCACCCTCCCCCCAGCTCCCGAACTTCCTGCGCCCCTCCGGTTTGCCCGCCGGAGTGAGTTTGAAGCCCGCTTGGGACAGCGGCAGCCCGGTTACCTGCGGCAGAGCGGGCCGGGGCCGGGCTGCGGAGCGGTGCGGGGCGGGCTCGCCTCCGCCTCCCCTGCGGCGGGGCCGGGCCCCGGGCCGAGCTCGGGCTGGGCGGGCAGGGCGCTGCCCGCCCCGCTCCCCCCGCCAATGTCAGGGGGGACTCGGGCTATGCGGGCATCTCCCGAGGAGCCCGCTTCCCGCAGCGGGCGGGCGCGGTATATTTAGCATCGCGTCGCTTTATTCCTCCCCCAAAGTTTCGCCCACTTATTTATTTATTTGCCGGCGAGCGCCGCGCTGCCGCAGAGCAGCAAGAGCCGCTCCGCGCCGTGCCGAGCGCTGGAAGCGGCTCGGTATTGCAGCAGGTAGAGCTGAGCGCTAGGACCTCGGAGAATCCTTCCAGCAGCAATCAGGACTACCTTAAACCCAGCCCAATGCCTCTTCCTGCGCCACTCTGCGTGCTGGATGGAGATCCACAGTCAAGAGCTGCAGCTCAGTGCTGGAGTACAACATTTCACAGGGAGCCCTGCAGAAGCAACACCTGTTTCGAGCCAGCCAAGAAAGACACAAGCACTTGTATGTTGCTGCTTTGCTTGTGGATCGTCAATAATCCTAAACCAGTGGACATCTGCTGAGCCTCCTGAGAATTCTGGATAATAGATTTGGACGTCAAAAGTTTTTTTTTTCCTTTTTCTTTTTTCCTTTTTTTTTTTTTTTTTTTGGATTTATCTCAGCCAACAACGTGAGATTTCCCCCCTCCCCCTTTGCAGGATTCATGCTGATGTATGCAGTCTGTTATAGAGTAAAAACAGCGCATGCCTTTCTGGAGTCAGAATCCATAAATCCTGACGTAGCCTGTGCATCTTAAAAAAAAAATCCCTATAACGCCTAGGTATTTAAGTTGCTATGGTCATTCTTATCTTAAACCAAATGGAGAAACTACGGATTTTTTTCTTTATTACAGTTGGATGGGCTGAAGACCGTATTGCTTGCTAAGAGCTGGGGATATATGCATTTATATAGATATACACATCTATATGTTTATAAATATGTCAGTGTGTGAGTATAAAGTGGTGGTTTCTTAGACTAACTGGTTTGACCTTGAACCTGTACCAGTCAAAACAGAATATTACTTTTATTTATGCATTTAATGGATTGAAGAAAGAACATTTTCTCTGTAACTGCGCTAGGGAGGGGAGAGGAGTGGAATATACCTAATCTTATATCTCCTGGGTTTGGCACCATCATTATTGTTTATTCTCATTCTCTAAAAGCAGAATCTTCTGATGGCTCCCTTAGGTGAAGTTGGGAACTATTTCGGTGTGCAGGATGCAGTACCCTTTGGGAATGTGCCCGTTTTGCCGGTGGATAGTCCGGTTTTGTTAAGTGACCACCTGGGTCAGTCTGAGGCAGGTGGGCTACCCAGGGGGCCTGCGGTCACGGACTTGGACCATTTAAAGGGGATCCTCAGGCGGAGGCAGCTATACTGCAGGACTGGATTTCATTTAGAAATCTTCCCCAATGGTACTATCCAGGGAACCAGGCAAGACCACAGCAGATTTGGTAGGTATTATCCTTAACCCTTTAGTGGTCATGTGATGAAATAATGGGGCAGAACTGCGGGCGGGGGGACGGTGGGGTGCGAGGCGGGCGGGAAGGGGGGTTTGTGTTGGTGGCTGATCCGCCGAGGGGAAAAATGAATGTGTCCGGGGGTGCAGATGTACACGAGCGGCACCACCGCGGCGGAGCAGGAGCCCCCGCCGAAGTCGCCGGGTGTTCGGTAGCGATGTTTGTGTAGCCCTAAGTTCTGCTCTGGAGCAGACGCGTACTGGTGGTGGTGGAGGAATTTTTGCTCGGGACGTTTCTTGTGTATGATTTGATTTCGCTAGTTTAAAGGGTTTTTAATCATTAACCACCACAATTTAAAATTCACCGAGTTTCCTGGAGGGAGTGGCTCTCGTCCTATACGCAAATTGACGAGGGCTTTTCTTTCGTTTTCTCTGCCGATTACCTGCCCTAGTAACTGCCCGAATTGCACACCCTGCCTGGTTCGCTGCTCGGCGAGGATTTACTGGCAGCGCACGCCGACCCGCAGCCGGGCTCTGCGCCCGCCCGAGCCCGCACCCGCAGCCGTGCGGCAGTGCCGGTGACAGGCGCCCCGGGAATGAGGGAGCGCAGGTGGGGTCCGGAACCTGACGCAGGGAATCCTGCGCCAAAACCTGCCTTTCTCTAGCTATGTGGCGTGTCAGGCTGGCAGCGAATTTGAAAAGAGCATTCCCTGAGTTTCCTTTCCAGGGGACACTATTTGTGACTCAGCAGCGAGGGCTGGAGGGCTGCTGGCCCCGGCTGCTCCGGAGAGCTGTGCATGCACACACTCACACATGCACATGCACACGCGAGTCCAGTGGGCCTGGAGCTTCTCGGCTGCCCGGGAGTCTGTTAAAGGCCCGGCAGATTGAATGTATGAAAGTGACTAAAACAGCCTGGCTGAGCTGATTCTGTGGGGTGGTTTTTTTTTTTTAAGGAGGGGTGCGGAAAATATGCCAGGTTAGCTCGCCACGCTCCCAGCTGTTGGAAGGAGTTAACTTGTGAGTGAACCAACCTGACAGCACTTAAATTCGGTCGTAAAAACAAAGTCCTGTGTTGATTTTTTTTTCTCTCTTTGTATTTTAATGCCAGATGTTGAACGATATCTAAGCTGTATTTTATTGCTTTGTGAAGCTATTTAGATAATGCCGGTGTTGTAGGAGACGATCTCCAAAGGGCTCATAAGGGAAGCAGGGAGGGAGGGACGGGGGAGGAGAGGACTGAGGCTCTCGCATGGTCGCAGGTTCATCCTCCATCCCCCTCCATCCGCTGCTCCCTGACACTCTCACGCTGCTTTACAGGCTCTTCCTCCCTCCCACGCCGCCCGCCCGGGGTCTCCGGGGCTGGCTGCGGGGTGGGGGCAGCGTCGCGGCTCTCCCGGGGGCGCAGCATTCACGCTTGCTGACGAGAAAAAGTGCGGAAAGTGTTTAAGGCAGACGCGTAGTGAGGGGCGTGGGGCGGGCGGGGGGGGTGTGTTGCAGCGAGGCGTTTTCCTTGGCACGGGCAGACGCCGTGCGTAGCTGCTGAGCCGCCGCCGCAGGTTCCCCTTGCCCGCTGCGGTGCGGGCGCGGCGCTGCGCGGGCCGGCGGGGGAGGCGCGGAGCGGGCCCGCAGCAGGTGTAGGGCGCTGCGCGCACCGGCAGCCGGGGCGGCGGGGGGCCGGCGGCCCGCGGGGCCCCGCCGCCCCCGGAGGAGGGCCGCCAGCTGTTCCCTTCGCAAGGCGGCGGTGACCACATTATTCGTGGCGTCTATTTTTAAAAATGGCTTTCCAGCCGCAGTTGTAGGAAGCTGACAATTCCGAGGGGCAGCTCTTCCACCTCTTGCAGCGCCTTGGCTTTAAATAGATTGATTTTTTTTTTAATTTTTTTTTTGTCCTTGTCGGTTTGATCTCCCTCTGCCCCCCACCGGCACTCGCCTCGGTGATAACTCTTCTCCCCATGCAGCGCGCCGGTGATGCCCCTGCTCTCTCCGGGCTTGGGAAGACCGGGCACGGCAAACCCGTGGGATGCCTTGGGGCTCCTGGCTTCATTGCCAGAGGGAAGGGGATCTCGGTACTTTTGTATCGGTGCCGTGACATTGCTGTTGTGTTTGCCGGAAGGTCACAGAATAGCTGATGCTATTTGAGTTTTGGTGATTGTTAAGTCTTCTGATGATCCCGGGGAGGTCTGCATCTCAACTCGGGAGCTGCCCTGGGGAGAGCGGGCTCACATGGTTTCCTGCGAGCGTGTGCGGGAAACCTGAGTGCGCGTGTGTGGATGCGGGGGTACGCGTCAGAAGGAAGTTTTTCTCCTGGAATAAGGAGGACAAAGAGAAAACCCCGGGGGCTGCGCGTAAACTCTTCTCTGGGCTCTGCCCTGTGGGAATCCCCCTCCCCGCACACACCTCTGGAGAGACATCAGATAAGAGTAATTCTTTTGTGATGCTATGTTGGATGTGTGCCTATTGCGTACAATAAACCGAGCCATATTGTGTGTCTATACTCGCCCGGTTCTGGGAGCCCTGGCATTTCGCAATTCCTGCAGCAAGATGTCCATCTCTAAAAAGAAAAGCTCCCCGGGAGGACCCGGCTGGGTCCCCCCCGTAATGTGATCTCAGGTGATCAAAGCCTTATCTCTCCCGGGTCACAAAAGAAATTTTTTTGATGCAGTCTCCTTTAGTGTAGGGCATTGGCTAGACAGTAGAGTCATTGTAAATTCAGGAACTCTGTAACAGCGGAGAGGCGTGCCGCTGTGCGTCAGCACAAGTACTGCATGCACAGCATTAAAAAAATAGGAGCATGCAGGAAAAGGAAAAAAAAAAAAGCTTGTCAGCAGGTGACCTCCGCTCCCCGGGACCTGCTGCTACAAGGAACCGCTGCGTTCATCATCTGCGGGAGCCGCGCAGCCGCCCGCCCTCCCGCCTCCCCGGCCCGCCCTGCCCGCTCCGGCGCTGGGCTGGCGGGGCGGGCTCAGCGCCGGGAGGGCGCGGGGGCGGCTCCGGACGGGGGTCCCTGCGGCTGCCCGCCCCTCTGCTGCTGGATGCGGGTGGGCGGGCCTGCCCCCCGCCCCGCGCTGTCTCTGGGGAGAGCCAGCAGGCCGGGGCGGGGCGGGGGGAAGGTGATGCATGCGGGGAAGGCTCTGGCCCCCGGGACTGGGAATCGTGGGCCAGGTTTTAGGGGGAGGGAAAGGCGCCGAGCAGGCCCGACAGTCTCCCCCGCTATTGAGCGTTGCGGAGGGGAGGGGATGAGGGGGGGCAAGGGCGCTGTGAAAGCCTGAAACTGAAGCAGGGCCCGGCTGCCTGGGGGTGCTGTGTCTGTCTGCGCTCCCGTCTTTTAATTGGCATCATGTGGGGGAGCGGGCGGGGTGGTGACAGCTGCGACAGGCGGGACGCATCCCGGCGGAGCGCTCAGCCCCGCGCGTCTCCGCGCAGCCCCGCACCGCAGCCCCGGCCGGCGGGCGGGAGGCCGGGAGAGAGGGGGCGCCGGGGGAGAAGCCCCTTCCCTCGCCCCATCACTGGGCTGACCTCCCGGCGGGTTCTTAGCCACCAAGGGCCCCGCTTCCCTCGCCCCGCTGCTCTCCGCGGCAGCCCAGGGAGAGGACAGTGCAGAGGGTCCCCCTGCGCTCCCCTTCCCCTGGAAACCGTACAAAGAGGTGGCTGGCAGAGATATACTTGTTCACCGTCTTCCTTGACATAGGTGATGGTCTGTTGCAGTGCTAAGGAGAAGCTAAACTGCTCCAATCCATTGATACAAAGAAAGCCAACGTGTAGCCAGAGGCAAAAATGGGCAAAGGGCAAACCAGCAGCAACTTAAAACTGTGCAGTTACAGAGGTGTTCATTACCTAAAAGCCAAGGAAAACGCTTTTGTAGGCCTGCTCTTCACCAGAGCTAAGACAGGTGAAAATTAAAATTTCACTTTTGTGAACAGCCCACCTCTCACCTGCGAGTGTGTCGGGAGAGTAGGACCAGCATTTGTGTCAGGCTGGCGTCCTGTACCATTCAGCATGGTCTGAGCTGGATCATGTGGAAGCTGTGTGAAGGGCTGATGTGGACATGTAAGATATAAATAGCTTCCCTGAAATTTTCTTCCTATCCTTGCAAAGGAATGGGTCTTTGCATTGGTTACATTAAAGAAAATGCACAGCGAGAAGAAATTCAGCACTCCATGCACTGAGTTATTTCTTCTACTTCCCTTCCACATTTTTAGCAATAAATAGGGCCCTAGCTTTCAAAGTTTGGAATTGTCCTGATTTTCATTTGATACAGCCTCATTTTGAAGAGGATTATCTATTATAATATCTACTTCAGGTCCTGAGTACTATCTGTGCATTATAGAAACTATACAGTGAAAATGTGTGCAGAACTGTGGGGCAAATGCAATCCTTAAACCGATAAGACTTCTGTAAGTCTGTGTGCTTGGCCCCAGATAATCTCTTGAAGGACTTAATATGGCACATAAAACTTACTGTGAGTGGGCTTTTAAGTATTTCAAATGAAGAAGTCTCTATTCTGATCTCAAATATGTGGATGCTCTTTGCCAAGTACTTTAAATTAATTTTCTGCACTTGTGATAGAAAGTGACAGTGCCTTTCTTGTTCTTTTAATTCACTAAGCAGCATGCATCCAAATATTTGAAATTATGACAACAATTAAAGACTACATTTGGACTGATATGAAAAATGCCAGACTCACTAACTTAGCTATAGTGGAGTCTAATACACACTTAACATAAGATTTAACCTCAGTTAAAATTGCTTGGTAACATGTAACAAGTAATATGATATTTTGGTAAAAGCTTTAGAGAAAAAGCCTTACTAAGAAATCTGAAAGTATTGCATGTCCAGATATAATGGGAATTTTAAAATGTTTCAATGGATCAATTGTATCTGAGATACTTCATATACCAGATAAATGGCGTGCTGCCGGTTTTTATTACTTAAATAATTGCATAATTGCAAAATATTTCCTCCCAGTATTTTTTTATTTGTGCATATGTAAAGAATAATTTAAAATGCCCAGGCCTTAAAAAAGGGTTATCAAAACAATAACACTGTGGTGTTTGTAGTGCTGAATAATATATAAGGTAATGATCAATACTCCCTTACAGGGAATATTTTTCACCTTTACATTAGCTTTACTATAAATTTTCCCTATTGGCTTCAACTTGTGCTATGTTGGATGTATATGATTCATGCCTGCTATTGATTAGTGCACAACTATTTTGTGGGAGATGCCAAATTAATTGTTAAAAAAGCCACGAAAATGATTTTTTATTGGCCACGTGAGGCTCAACACGCCCTATACTGTTATTTCATTATTTGATATACATGTAATTTCCAATAAGCTTTAAAAAATAGTTATGCAGTGTGCTTAGATATGAAAATTCACATAATCTATCGAAAATGTTACTCTGTGCAGGACACACTGTATCTGATGACTCAGAAAGTAGCGTAACACAGCAGCGTGCTTCTGAATATTGCTGGATAACTTCTTGTGAGATCATTACAGTCTTAGATGAGCACTCCCAAATATGAAGAAATTTCCATTTTTAAACACAAGATTCCTAGGCTTATGCCAGGTTTGGCCAGTAGCATCCTCATTGAAGAGGTAAGCAATTTGCAGGGAAGGCTGCCAGAAAGTCCGCCAACCCTCAGAAACAGATGAGCCAATACTTGATACAGATACTTGTACTGTGCACATGGATTCTGAACCTTGGAGATCTGCAGAAGCAGTGCTTCTCTGCAAAGTATTCTTATTTTTAAGTGAACAAACGTTTGTGTAAGCTTGCTGTTATGTGCATGGGAAAACTTAATTGTGTGCACACTATTACACTTAGGTGTAGGTCTGAATTTTAGATGAGTAAATAATAACACATCAGAGAGAATGGTTCCTATCTAAACAGAAATGCATGACTCTGGACTATACTAAGGATTTTCATTTCTCAAGCCTCTGGAAGATCATACTGTGAGTAAATCTTTCCCTGTATTCCTGATTCATTGATGTCTGAAAGGAGATCTTTTGGTTCCATATGCGACATTGCTTTATTTCACAATTCTGATTAAAATATGTTTTTCCAATATTTATTTTGCAAGACAAGTTTCATGGGTTCCACATTTCTGCTAATTTTTGCAATCTAAAACCTTGTTTTTTCTCTGAATGTATCATCTGTTGTGCAAATCAGTATAACTGAGCTTAAGATTTGTGTTTAGGAATGATAAGAAAGATTGTGAGCAATTTTTAAATTTGATACATTAATGCTGTCTGCAGTGCATCAATCTAACAAAGACCCAAAGTACTTGAAATATTGTACGTTAATTTTGCCCTCATATTCTTCCAAACAACTCAGAAAACGGGAAAAAGCCTTGAAAATAGCTGCTTGACACTCAGGGATAAGTCATATCTGGGATAGAAAAACCTTTCAATGGAAACAATATGTACATTGTTTGTTTTTTCCTCCATTTCATAGGTATACTGGAATTTATCAGTATAGCAGTGGGCTTGGTCAGCATCCGAGGAGTCGACAGTGGACTTTACCTTGGAATGAATGAGAAAGGGGAACTGTATGGCTCGGTGAGTTCCTGCTAGCCTTGGGCAGTTATATTCCTTACATTCTGTGGGGGAAACTCTTGCTAGCTCCTACAAGCTCCCGTTGCACTATGTGTGTGTGCTGTATGAGCACTCTTTCTGCTCTGAAAGTCTTGCAATCTAATTCAAAACAAGACCCTGTGGGTGACATAATGAATGCGGGAGAGGGAAAAGGTAACAAAATCAGGAATGAGTAATAATGCAGATGAGTGGCAATTTAGGTACAAACAATAGAGACTGATGACCAGAGATGGTCACTGAAGACTAAAAGACGTACTATAAGATTTGTAAATGTCTCCTGCCAGTAGAAACCTAAATCAAGACAAAGCGGATTCCTTTTGTGTGTAGGCAGAGAGCTTTCTAGGAATTGACAAAATAAGGTAGAGGGGGTGGGAAAGGGTGGCATATGTGGATGAGAGAATGAGAAACAGGAGTGTGACAGAAGTTATAAAAAGTGTAGGAATGAGGGTAAGAGGCTTGGTGGTCTTGTCCTGAAAGTTTCACTGGTGCTCCCTGAGGGATGGCAGCAGGAGTGAGTAACGGGTATGAGGGAGGAGTAAAACTTGGTATTTCAGATGTGGGTGTTTGCCAGCCTACCTGCAGCTGATGGGTGACTGTTTTTGGCAACATGGGCTGTCTTCCAGCAGAGCAGAGAAAGAGACAGAGTGTGTGTGTGTGCCTGTGTCTGTATGACGTGGCTCTTACCTGGGAATATTTGAGATACCTAATGTACAACCAGCTTCATACCCTGGGTAAATCGTGAGCAGGTTCATCTGAAATTTAGCAGGTAACTCCCCAGATGGTAGAAGGCAACCTCTTCTAGCAGTAAAATATCAGCCTCCAAAGCTTACAAGGACTAGAGAAGCAGTTGTATTTGAGTAAGAGGATGGCAGGATGGAAGGGTTAGTGAATATCTGAAGCAAAATGAAGCTGTGCATTCATAGGGGTTCATTACAAGCAGAGGAGAAGGTTACAATTAATAGTGTAAATGGTGCAGAGAAACACTTAAAAAGAAGTTAAAGTGATAGAAAAGGGCTTTGAATGCAGTTGAAGACACCTGTGTCACAGGGGCGTAGCAGTCGAAGGGAAAAGGGTGGGGATAGCAGTGAGAGGAGGAGAAAACATGAGATGATGGTGATGAGTGGGCAGATGAAAACAGAAGGGGTAAGAGAGAAGTTCAGCTTCCATGTATATTATCCATGTAGGAGTGTGAGCAAGTGAAACCAGGAAAGTCCAGCAGAAGTGTTTCCATAAGGGTGTCCAGGTTCACTGATCTCTTTCTAGTAAAATTGTGTGGGAGAGATGAAGAGGATTATCTTCTGAGCAAAGAGCAAGCTAGGTGAGGAAGATACAGAAAATGACAGTGTATTTGGGAGGCAGAAAAAGAGGTGGTAAAATGAGGGGCAAGCCTGGGATGGAAGATTACTGGATATGAGAGAAGTAGAGATGCAGAGATGGTGAGGGCCAGTGACTGGGAAAGGCCAAAGAAAAGGGATTTAGCATAAATGTCAATATGGAGAAGGTAAAGTTTGGAAGGGTGGAGAAGGAGTGAGAAAAGGGATGGATGCAATGACTGATGTAAACCAGTGGCCTGTGAGGAGTAAGTTGTCATAAGTCACAATCCTTGTGCTGCTGATGAATGTGATAAAGAACTAGCAAAGTACATGAGTACATCAGGTTCAGTTAGGCAGCAAAAAGGCAGAACAACAACAGTAATATGAATCAGTAATGTTGATAATCATCAGTAAGAGTAATCATTTAAACATATAAACACGGTGAATCAGTTACTCTGCATTTCAGATATTCTGAGACAGGAAATGTGGTTATTGATAGAGCTTAAATGCATAGACTTGGGAAAGCAAATGTTACATCACTTTCCTGTGCAATTTATGTTTTGTATTTGCAATATGTTTGGCTGTCAGAGTGAATTACTCAAGACATTCTTTGCTGAAGAAATATGTACAAGAAATTCTTTGTAAATTAGTAAGATCACTGCATTTATAAAATAGTTGTTCCATGAACGGCAGCTCTAAAGGAGCCTACTTTCCTAAGGAGTTTTATCTCACAGTACTGGACATGGGTCTCTCTGACATTCTGTCCCTGCAGTAGCACAAATTCCTCAGCCTTTTGTGTTTCTTGTATGGAGAACGAGACAGTGTTAGCTGTCCATGCTCACCAGACTGCCAGTTTAAAGGGATTACATAGCTCACCACTCCCAAGTGGGACGTGCAAATGATTTCTTTTCTTTACCCTGCCTCTGATTAGTTGCAAAACTGATAGGAACTTAATTTTCTTGAAGACCTTTGCCTCCTGATTGAAACTGGTTGACAAGCTAAGGAAAGAGAGACAAGCAGGCAAATGGATGTACAGTATAATTGGATAACCTCTTTTTCCTAAGAAATGACACTAAAAATATGAAGCCATTCATAAGGGAGAACTGGCAGTCTCTGAGGCTAGAATGCAAAGTTCAGGTTAAAATCTGATGGATGATATGGCTTATTGTCAGCCTCCAGAGATGGGACATACTAAAGAGTGATGGTAATTGAATTACATTACTTCCAATGAAATATAACCTCTAATGGCTACTCAGTGTGATGATGCTTTAAAGACTTGTCAACACTAGCAATCCTAGTGCCTATATTTCAGCAACTGTCAGCTCTCTTAGAAACACTGAGATAAGCAGGCCTCAGAGCAGATTTTTGTATAGAATTGGCTGGACATTTTTAAGTGACAGTGTTTTGCGTTTGGTTTTGGTCAAAAAATGGAATTAATTGAAAATGAAGTTCTCTGATGGGAATAAATTTGCAGCCTGAACCAGAAGCAAGGCACAATCTAGCACAGAATTATCTCTCTGGCAAAGTAGAAGATCAGGTTAAATGAGTTTAGTTTTGAGACTGATACGTGGTAGACTGTGAAAAACTTAAATCAGTTTTTCACCTGCATTAAGCAGAGCAATCTCTTTAGCTGAACTGTTCTGTAGCACCAGTAAGTTGTGCTTGTGCTGCTGTGCTGCGAGATGTATCCCTCTGTCTTGGTTTCTTCCCTATGGGCTGTGAATAGCATCAGCTATGTCATGGAGCAGGTACCCTTATGACCCTGTGGCTCTGTTTCCTGAGATGGGAAACCCACACACAACTGAGTAGCAGCCTAAGAAATAGTTGGTCTTGCTCTACATCAGCATTGTGGATCTAAGTAGCTGCTTAGATTCACAGCTTGTGAGGCATTCAGTACTTGACACTATTGGAATAGATGCCCTGTCTAACACTATCATATTTATATTCTAATTACTGCATGAAAAATGCACTAGGCATGAACCAAATCAGTGACCTAAAAGACTCATATCCTTCTATATTTGTGTTTGAAACATTTGACACAGGAAGATTTTTTTCCCCCAGCATAATTGTGGTGCCACTGGAGATGGGACATATGGCAAAGCAGAGCAGCCAGGGTGGGTGATTGTTGCCAGTTTTCATGGACGACAACAGTAAAGGAAGTTTCAGCATATCTTGATCCAGACACATTCCTCTTGACTTTCTCAAAGTTCTTCCCTCATTGACTAGCTGCCTGACAAACTCTTCCCACTTCCCCACTCTCACAGAGGGCAGTTCCTGCTGCATTTTCTGGTCAGAAGAGCACAGGACCTCTCATGCTGCTTTCAGACAGATATGTAACATAATGTGACTGTTCTGAAATTCCTCCTCATGCCGTGGATTTAGCCAGGGAAAGCTGAAAACAATGCATATGGTGCTGCAGAGAAACCATTGTAGCTCCGTAACAATGACTCTGAAACTGGTTAGTGACAGCAGCTTTTCCTCCTGTCTCATCTGTCCCTGCTTTCCCTTTACCTTGCCTTTCCCTGGCAGCCTGCAGCTATGACTCATCATGTTTCACAGCAGCCACTGTGCTTGTCCCTGGAAAGGAGGAAAAATGCAAACTACAGATAGGACCCAAAGACAAGACATGAAGACCTTTTCCTTCCCAAGTGCCAAACAGCTCTTGCCAACATGTCTGGCAAGAACATTAGCATATATGTCTTAGCTGTTTTCCTCAGGGCCATGCCATGGAGGGAGGGAGATCTTCCTGAGCAGTCTCACAACCTTCATGCTTTTGTAGGCTGTCCCCATTGTCACGCTGCCCTGAGGGGTATTACCAGCTGCCACCCGTGTGGCAGGCAGTGATGTGTCCCCACACCATGATGTGCCCATCATTCCCATTGCAGACTGTCCTCTGAGGGAATTTTGTGCTGTGTCAAGCACAGACCAAGCAGGAACGTGGGACACCCTTGCCTCAGCTGCCCTGGTTATCCTGGGCTTTTCTGCAGTAGAGAGCTGTGCTGCATCTGACTTCTGGCATCCCCACCTCACTGATCTCCCACAGACATGCACCTGCTCCATTCCTCTTCTCAGACTGGATACAAAGAAAAATTTTTTTAGTGGTAGGTGTGGTGAGTCACAGGAACAGGTTGCCAAGAGATGCTGTAGTTGCCCCATTGCTAAAAATATTCAAAGTCAGGGTGGACAGGACTCTAAGCAACCTGATGTAGTTGAAGATGCACTTTGCAGGGAGGGTTGGACTAAATGAGATTTAAAGGTCCTTTTCAACCCAAACCATTCTGTGAAATGCTGGTGCCTCCATTGCTCCTTGTGCCCTTGGCAGGTGGCAAAAGATAGCTCAGTTTGGGTGCTGAGGAGGAATAGTGGTAATTGGAAGATCTGGAGCAGCTACCAGGAAAGCTTTGCAGGTGGGGAGAGGAAGGCAGGAGTGGAGATGGTGGAGCTGTTGAGGAAGGGGGAAAGAATTCTTGGAAGGAGAGCTCAGGGAAGCATACAGAGAGAAGCTTCATTTACTCACAGAGCAGCTGGGACAGAGCTGAAGAGCCCAGATCAGGAGCCAGGGAGGGAAGCTGCAGCCTCTGGGCTGCAGATTTACAGGGTGTGTACTGCAAGGTGAGATGTAGGAACGCTTTAACAGGGTCATAAATTGCT